CGACTTTTAGTGCACCATGATAGTTTTAAGTGCCTTAGGTTGTTTATAGTGAGGAAAGTGCGCTCAAGCGAACATGCATCTTCCCAGACATCCAATTCACGATGGAGGAGGAAGAGAACAACCAGTTGGCCTTCCTTGATGTCCTCGTCTGTCGCGAAGACTGTGGTGGCCTTAAGATTAAAGTACTCAGGAAAGTGACAAACACGATGCAAGTACTGAATTACAACAGAAGCCACCCAATCAGCCACAAAGGCGGTTGCGTAAGGACGCCCTATCGGCATGTTGAGACGCACTGCAGCGAACCAGAAGTTAAAGTTGCCGAGGTAAAATACCTTCGAAGGGTATTCAGAGAGAATGATTACCCGCGCAGCTTCGTCAACCGGTGCCTTCACAAAAGAGATTTCCAACAAAGTCGCACTGACCCCAAACTTTGGCGAGCGATCCCGTACGTCAAAAACGTCTCGGAGGCTATCGGCTGCCTTCTCGCACCACTTGGAGTCTGGAGTCGTCTACAGGATCTGATGCAGTTGCGGGCAAAGCAACTATGTCAGAGAAACTGGCAGACTTCTCAAGACGCGAACACGCGGCGATGTCGGAGAAACTGGCAGACTTCTCAGGACACGAAGTGCCGAACACGCGGTAGCAGTGCGGGCAAATGATGCCAATTGTCAAGTTGCGGCTCATTCGACGAGACCCGGCCACACATTCAAATTTGATGAGGACGAAATGTTCGCAAGAAGTGACAATCGAGTGAGCCGAGAATTACTTGTGTCATGGTTCATGGGCCCCCAATCCATCAACAAGTGCAACGATTTGCTTAATCCATATTTGGTGCTGAGATCAAATTTGGCCAAAGCTTGGGGAACGGACAGGTTATTGCCTCATCCTATACCAGTACCGGAGGGCCAGATGACAGGGCAATCATCACGCCCGAGTCCACAACGCGTGATGAAAGGTCAGCAGGTCAGAGCCCGCATGCCGCTCAACCAACCAACAACACTCAAGCGGGTAATTATGGTTAATTGTCGTCGTATTTTGCAGTAATTGCTGTATCTTATAAATACTGCAAACTCCTGTGCATGTGCTACCCAATCTGCTATTTCTTTCTGACTATGTCTCTGATGACGAGTCCGCGACGGATATCGAAACGTCAGGTGAATAAAAGTAATGTCCCAGCGATCGAGTCGCCTTCTTCCTAAAGTGCGCTCAGCCATCGATCTCACTTTCTCCCCCCAATTGTCCAGAATTAGGCCACTGTCCGAGCCGGTCACTTGTCTCACGCAGTGTGGGCGCATTGGCCGATAGGCCAGGCAACTCCGTCTATGGGCGCCACAGCACGAGCTGGGACCCTTTTATGTAGATAAACAGGCGCCAGTGTTGTTGTTCTGGTTAAATGAATGATACCGTTTCCTTCCCAAAGGCGCAACTACGAAAAGGGTCCTCCGGATACTTGAGGCTTTTCCCATGATAGTAAATTGGGTGTCTTAGTGTGTCTACATTATTCTCTGCAGAATCAATCTTCACTTTCAAATGTAGTCAACTATTCTCCGTTCTGCAACCCTGACGGTGGTCCTCGAGGTCACTGTTGGTGATCATCACGGGTTCTTATTTTTTCGCCAGCTTGTCGGTGGACTGTACTTTGTCTCAGCTCCGGCATTTCGATAGATCTCTCGTGAAATCTACTATCCCCTCTTCGATTCGACTCCATTTTCACCGCGAACCCTGTTATCTGCGAGTAGTTCCTCTATCAACCCCATGATTGAATATGATATCTTCCATAACAAGGAACATTACGAATCCTCATACATTCTCATCAACATCACAATTACATCTCACGGCAAAGGTCGTTTAAGTAGGGCACCTCATATACCCCTAGTCCTAGCATTTTGTTCTACGGAAATGGAGGTTATAGGAGTTTTGGAGGTACAGAAATAAGATAGGCAGTGAAGGAAATTTGTAGAAGTAAGTAGAAAAATTCAGTTGAATTCGTTTCCCGCGGCCGTTGGGAGTAAGTTAATCCGCATTTAAATTGAAGGTGTGTACGGCGCTTCGCACCGCGTCCTTTACTTATCTAACTCTTGAACGGTAATTTGGACTTCAAGTAATTGGAAGTAGACAATCTCCTAACCACCATTTCTATTTTTTCAGGAATTTCAAGAAACCTGAATTTTGATAATCAGGCGTTTCCGCAATACGGTAAATTATAAATCAACAACATTTCCAAATACAATAAAATAAAAGTGCGTATGGCAGTTATTAAAGCATATTCAACTGCTTATCTTAATTCCCCATCCATAAAATCCATATAACCAGCGTTTCCGTGGGACAAAAGACTGGGACTAGGGGTATGTGAGGTGCACTACTTAAACTACTGTTGCCCAGCTCAATTTAATTATTACTAACAGAAGCGGTTTTGTTTCTCCTATATTTTTTTGAAATCAGTGTTTCCCCGAACTCTGCCTCTGATTTATCCTATAGGAGTTTTTTTTTACTAATTCTTTTTCATTTCACCATATTTACCAACTATTATTGACTGTTGTTTTAAATGACGCTCCGTCGTCATTCGGGTGTAAATTAATATGCATAACCTAATACTCATTTCTGTTGTCTTTACAGTTGTTCACACGCAACTGCAATTACCAACCTTGCATTTATGTTTACCACAGCACTAAGTGCATACTGACTGGGTCCCCTTGGCCATGAAATATACACGTGTACGCTTATCTGCCCCTGTATATCCCTGATAAAATACCGGCAAAGCAGCGCCCTTGTAGCTCAATGGTTAGGACGTCTGATTCTGATCAGAGAGGTCGCGAGTTCGAGGCTCGGGTGTGTCCCTACTTGGGTCTGGGTATTATTAGCTGATGAGGGTTAATAATCCAGAAATGGCCATCTAGTCTCCCTTGTCTTTGCCTGTAGTGTTCTTCTGTCTATATCCTTAGCCGTCTCGCGGTGTAGGCTCGAGTGAGAGCTCCAATGACAACATGGACCGACGAGTATGTCCTCTAACAGATC